CGGCGGCGAAGCAAAACAAGAAATAAAAACAAAAAACCTGAAAAATACAAAAAACAGCAGTCTAAACCTACCTCGGGTAGGTTAATTAAAAATGTTGGGAAGCAATTTTGCTTATATATAACTACCTAAAACCTAACCTAACCCCAATATAAGATGACCTTAACCCTAAAGTTAATTCAAAAAAAATATATATTATAAGAATCTGCTCCGCTTTAGACATCCCCTTTATTTGGCAATTAGCTATAATGTGCAAATTCAGCCAATAAAAATTTATTTTAAAAATAAAAATTTGCAAAACTAGCCAATAAAATATATGCATTATAAAATAGTGTTATTATATTATCTCGAAATAATGTCCAGGAGCATTATTTCAGGATGCACAATAGTGCAAGAATTAATTTAGCCGAAAGCTATAAATAATTGTCATGGCTGATGCTGAAGTTGGCTGATGCTGAAGCTAACGTGACAAACCCAGGTTGGAAATGAAGATCGTACGCCATGTGATACTGACATCGACGCACGTACGTACACACCCGATACGGTCCACTGTTATGCATGTTGTGCATAAAAATTTTTAAGAACAAATAATTGTTTTTTAGACGCTTATTCATTGCCCACGATACCTTGATACGGGTGACTTTTTTTATACAAAAATTTTTTTAAAATTACATTGTATATATTTGCAATACTTACCTACGTACTGCTCAAGATGGTTTTAAATAGAGTTCCTCTCGCACTTTCTTCAGAATCTATTTGTGGTGGTTTTTTTTTTTTTTTTTTGAAAAAACAAGGCAATACCTATCCACCATCCCAAGCCGAGTCGTCATTTTGTTTTTTTTTTTCTGAAACCAAGGTATAAACAAAAGTATGTATTTGCTGTTTTTGCAGTTTTTATCTTATTTTTTTTTTGTCTTTATTTTTAAAGTTTTTTTTTTTTTGAAAAAAGGTTTCTTTTTTTTTAAAAAAAAAAAAAAAAAATCAAGTTCTTATGCCAGCAATCCCAAAAATCCCCGAAACGGTGGCCAAATACCAAGCGATTGTGGAATATCTTCATTCAAAAACAGTATCTGCAGATGTTCTAAGAGACAAAAAAAATGCCAAACCGAATTTTATTCGTCGATGCAATAAATTTGTGATAGATGAAAACAAAATCTTATATATTTCTGCTATTATGAAAAACGGTGTTATGTCTGAAAAACGTCATATTGTTCTCAAGTATGATGAAGAATTACGCACCTTGATATTTCAATATTTTCATGACCAAGCAAATCACCATAGCTATCACAAGACGTTCTCCGTGATTTCAGAATAACATATTGGAATTACGCAGGGGGAGGTTCAAGTATACGTCAATGAATGTGCCTCTTGTGCTGTGAATACTTACTTTAAAAAAAAAACTGTTATGACCCCAGTAGTATCTACAGCACCGTGGAAGCATATTCAGATCGACCTTGTCGATTTTTGTAATTTTATGAATGCAAATGAAGGTTACACGTAGTTACTTACCTGCATCTGTATATTTTCAAAATTCTTTGTGGCCGTTCCTTTAAAAAACAAGGAGGCCGCTACTGTTGCAAATCACCTGGTCAAAGATGTTTTCAAGATTTTGGATTCTCCTACTTATGAATTTAATAATAAAACGTAAGAACTATTAAAGATATAAAACATAGCAAACGATAAACTTATTTTTTAAAAATTACTTCTTGTAAACCGCGTCCATCTGCGGCTAAACGTTTATCAAGTGGAATGGTGTATCCTTTTGCATTCTTCCAATTGGATATACATGGAGGAATTACCCATTCTTGTTGTTCCTTGGCCGATACTTTACGAGGAGGAGAATGTAATACAGGTGCCGGTGGTGATGGAGGGCCTGATGTTTAAAGGAAAATTATCAGAATACAAGTCCTAAGATGTTCATAAGATATTCAAAAATAATGACCCTTACTTACCACGCGGAATTTTTTTGTGCTTGAATTTTGGAGGTTCCATCGGATCAACAGGCATTTCTACCATTCTAATAATTCTTTGCGTTGCACCTGAATTATAAGCTTCGCCTTGTTGTCCAGGAGTATACCGTATATACGTTGGTTCTGATGGTTTATCGTTTTTGACATTTTTTGGCTGTGCAGCCTTGATTTTTCCTTAGAATAAATAAAATAAAAGAAAAAAGAATCAGTAATCAACATGAACGTTAAATAATGAGAGAAATGATTAAATACCTTGTACTATCTTTTCTAATGCTTCTCTCGTCTTTTCAGTTGTTTCTTTTACCTCCTCTTCACTAGGCCTATCCAAAGTTATTTGTTCAATGTCAGATCTTTGATTAACTGGAACCAAATCTTTGAATTGTGAATGAACAATTCGCGATTCGGTATGACCTTGTCTTGCAATAGCGTCATATTTAATATTGCCTTCTGCATCAACTTGTAACGGAAGGGCTCCACCACTTGTGCCCTAATATCATATTGAATTGTTTTAAATTTATGAAAAAAAATGGTCTTTTCGCTGTGCGATCTGAATACTTACCGTTTTGTTGCGGCCCATCTCTAATGGATATTGGGCTATATGAATTTCAGGAAACGCACCACCGTCTCCAAAGTCATCCAAACTTCTTGGTTTCCATCCTACCCGTTTACCGTATGGAGGCGGTAATTCTTTTTGCTTTGTAACTGTGAGTTCATCAAATTTGCGTTCAAATTGATTCTGCTGTTCTGAATTTAATAGTTGACGTCTTGGTTTTGGAAGAACACTGAAAATGACAAGTTAAAGTGATATGTTAGCTGCAAAAGTAAAATTACTTAAAGATCTAGAAATGTATAAATCTAATTACCCTGCAAGCGTGGCCATTATTGAAATTTGAAATAATAGAATCGATGATTAAAATCGCGGTTTAAATAGCACGATAGAAGTTTGTTTTAATTGGTTGTTTATCCGGATCATCATATTAAATTTGATTGGCCGGTAGATCACGTACGTTTGGATCTCTATCAGCTATGGATCAAATGGGAAAAGACAGACAGTTCGCTTATATGTAAAAACGGAGAAAAATATGAATTTTTTACTAGTTATTTTAGTCAACTTAAACTAACTCTCACGGTTTAGCCATAAATTTTTTTTACTAACGTATTATTCATGCTCTAAGTGGAATATAACCTCAAAACAAAGGGCTTTGCTCCGAAAATAAACCTACCGTCGTATATTGGACCGTGCAAAGTTATACTGTAAAGTAAGAACAAATGTTTTTTTCTTAAGCTGTTTTCTTACGTTAGGTTCAAATAAACTTTTATTATTAACTGTTTAGTTTGAATAAGTACAAGTGGCAAGGATTTGGGTTTAATACAGGGGGGTGACAAAAATATTTCTACACCTAAGGACTTGGCTTATAACTCAAAAACTTACTAATTAACTTATGTCCTTGAATTGACTATTGAAACTTTATCTCTTGATGATTATGTTATATCATTTTTAGATCATATACAGTATAGAACAGCTAAAGATATTCACTTTTTGTCTGGAACAAAGTGACAGACCATTTATTTCTATATATTGTGATACAAAAATTACTTTTTTAATGCATTATATATTAAAATATCAAAAAAGTAATTTTGTATTTTCTGCCTGTTTATGGAGAGTTTTTTTTGGTACTACATTAAAAATAGTGTTATTTTTTGAATTCTATTTTTTTATTTTGCACTCTATATGTCGTTAATTTATAAAAAAGATGTTTTTTTTGGTATTACATTAAAAATAGAGCTTTTTTTAGGGTCTTATTTTTATATAACATAGTTAATAAACTATTTTCAAAGATATCTTACTATTTACTAGGTTGATTTTGATGATTTAACTATCATTAGAATTGTCTTAATGAGCTTTACAACTTTAATTAGAGACTTAAAGATAATTAACTTAGTACAAAAAAGTTTAAAATTCAAATAAGTTTTAGACAAACAATGTTTTGCATTTACCTAGTTATATATAAAACATAAAAAGGCTTATAACTTAAAAACAAATAACTTTAAAAAAAACCTGTTTTACAAATTTGTTGCTTTTAGTCTAAACTACAATTTTGTTAAAATAGATTTTTATTTTTATTATAAAATTTAAAAATTTTTAAAGTTTAAAATTTATATATAATCCAAAATTTAGTATTTAATATATAAAAAAATAATTATATATATTTTTAACCAATCAAAATTTAGTATATAAAAAATTAGCCAATTATATTTGATTACATAGTAGATATCTTTAGCTGTCCTGTACTGTATTTATATAATTAGCAAGTCATTTAATTTTACTTTTAGAGTTTTAATAAATTTAGTAAGTGTTTATATTTTTGTACAAATATTTTAACAACTATTAATCTAATTTCAATGATATTTTACTATTTTATAGATAAAATTTTTTTATTTTAGCGATCCTTTTTTTATTTTTTTAAATTGTCAGTACTTTACAACAAGATATCTTAGTTAGCTAAATCTATATTATCTATAAGAAATACTATATATCTATAAAATAAAGAAACTCTTAATCTGTCTTATTATTGTAGTAAAATTATAATAAAACCATAATTAAGTATTAGAGTATGATCTAGAAGTAATTTATCTAAGTAACAATTTTTTCTCCTTTCAGGATCCTCAATTTACTAAGGATATAAGCTCCAGATATCAACAGATAGAATTTACCAACCTTGTCAAAATCACTACTTTATAATAGAGTATTACCAATCTAATAATACTTTCTTATAGAGAAGTAAAAAAAAAAAAAGAGTAAGTGTAGAGTGAAAAAGAAGTAAGTAAAAAAAACAAACATATAAAGAAGATGATCAAAATAT